TCTGCAGCTGTTGACGTAGGTCAGCGGTGGCTTGCTCTAATTCGAGGATGACACCACCCTCGGGTACTAAGAGCCTGTTGGAGGCCTCAGCCCCGTTAGTTTCGCCGGGGGCTGCGTAGTTTTCCTCAAGGGTCTTGGATTGGGCACGGGTGGTTCTTCCCATTTTCGGTGAGTGTTTTGTGTTTGGTAGAGGGGGAGGGTTTCTTACTTGATAGTTCAGGCTCTCAACGAGAGCACCAAATGATGGATAGTCTACCCGGGGGGTATCTTATCCGGGGGGTTATTGCGGAAATAACTAGAGAGAAGTCAGAGCAAATAGGAGGAGAGAGAGTCGATTTTATTAAATGAACTCAGCGTGTGTTGGGATGTACATTGTGTCCATTACAAGGAGAAATGGGCTGCTATTTATAGCAGCAATAAATGCGATGAGAGTACACGTGTCAGCAATCCAACGGCCGAAGGGTCACATCAGCCTGGTGGCACCGGCAGTGGTACGTCAACCGCATTCAATGCGGTTGGCGGATGCGACGTGGCATTAAATGCGGTGGTTGGCTGTCCCTAAAAGGAATCTTCGATGATTGAGCTAGTTTAGCCGAGGGTTCCTTGTGTAGCCGAGGGCTCTTTGTGTAGCCAAGGACCATTGTGTGGCCGAAGGCCCCTGTTGCCGAAGGCCCCCTGTTGCCGAGGGCATAACAATGCCGAAGGCTTATGTTTTCGCCCGTTTTTCTCCCAGCAGCCTCTTATGTCAGAGAAGGCTATTCTGTGAGTTTTGGAGCCCTCGGCCAAGGAGGCCGAAGGCATCCCAGTGTGCATTCTGAGCTACTTTGAGGCTTGGGCCGCTGTATTTGGGCCTGAGTTGTTCTCTGGGCTCAACGGACTTGTGTAGGAGAAGTAGGAGTCTATGGGCCGGGGGTTCCTGGGCCATATACTCCATCACCATGCAAACCCGATCCAAATCGGGAATTTTTAAACCAAAAACTATTTTTAATCTCAAAACAGATTTGTTGGCATATGATCCGTCCTGTTTTTCAGTAGCTAATAAAGATGCTAAATGGAGGGTTGCTATGGCTGAGGAATTTAATGCTCTTATTGATAATCATACTTGGGATCTTGTTCCGTTCACTTCTGATAAGAATGTGGTTGGGTCTAAATGGATTTATAAGACTAAATTTAATTCTGATGGGTCTGTTGAGCGTCATAAGGCACGTCTGGTTGCACAGGGGTTTACTCAGCAAGCTGGTGTAGATTTTTCAGAAACTTTTAGTCCTGTGGTTAAACCCACAACTGTTCGTATTGTCTTATCCCTTGCTGTTTCTTTCGGTTGGACTATGCGTCAGTTGGATGTCAAAAATGCGTTTCTTCATGGCAATTTAACAGAAGAAGTTTATATGCGTCAACCTTCTGGTTTTGTTCATCCTCAATTTCCTACTCATGTGTGTCGTCTGAAGAAAGCTATATATGGTCTTAAACAGGCTCCACGAGCCTGGTTCTACAGGTTTAGTAGTTTTCTTTTGACTCATGGTTTTCTTTGTAGCAAGTCCGATCATTCTTTATTTATCTTTCGGCAAGGGGGTACTATTCTCTATCTTCTTCTCTATGTCGATGATATTATTATTACTGGTAATTCCCCGTCTTTTATCACTCATTTTATTTCCTGTCTGGGCCGCCAGTTTGCTATGAAAGATTTAGGGGATTTACATTTTTTCCTGGGTGTCCAAGCTGTCCGTCTGTCTAAGGGACTATTCTTATCCCAGCAAAAGTATGTGTCTGATTTACTAGCTAGGTTTCATCTTCATACTCTTAAACCAGTTCGTACCCCTCTTCCTTCTAGAACGAAGCTGTCTCTCACTGATGGTGATCTTCTTGCGGATCCTACTGAGTACAGGAGTATGGTAGGTGCTTTACAGTATTTGACTATGACTAGACCTGATATTACATTTGCTGTTCACCTGGTTTCCCAATTTATGCATGCTCCCCGTACTTCTCACATGTTGGCTGTTAAGCGCATTTTCAGGTATCTTCAAGGGTCTCCTGATTACGGTCTTCTGCTTCGGCCGAGTATCTCCTCTCCTACGCTACAGGCTTATTCTGATGCCGATTGGGCAGGATGTCCTGATAGTAGCCGTTCCACATCCGGGTTTGCTATATTTCTGGGTCCTAACTTAATTTCTTGGAAGTCCAAGAAACAGCCTACTGTTTCGCGGTCTTCTACAGAAGCTGAGTATCGGGCTATTGCTTACACAGTTCAGGACACACTACACATCAGATCCATTTTATTCGAGCTTGGAGTACCTATACGCACGCCGGTACAGTTGCTTTGTGACAATGTTTCTGCCTCTTATTTATCTACAAATCCAATTCAACATGCTCGCAGCAAACATATTGATATAGACTATCATTTTGTCCGGGAACGTGTTTCTCATGGAGACCTGATAGTGCGCTATGTTCCTACACAGTTTCAGCTGGCTGATATCTTCACCAAGTGTTTATCTCCTCAGCGATTTATTTTTCTTAGGGACAATCTGCGCGTTGTTTCCCCTGCACAGATTGAGGGGGTGTAATAATGTAGTATTTACCTAAAATAGGGTTTCCATATTTTGTTGTTTCCTATTGTATTCAGGACACTTATTCTATTATATATATGACATCCAGGGCTACCTATTGGGTATGCCTTCCCATTATTCTCACATTCTCATGTTCTACTGGTCACATTTCTTCCACTAGTTCAATTCTAGCGAGTTAGAATTAATATTACGAATTCAATCTTATGCTAATAGTTTTCTACATATTGTGTTTCTTGACTCTGCATTCTCGCCGGAACATGTAATTTCTTTGGACGTTCTTCGTTGATGGCACAACGTCTTCCATAACTAGGCGCCGCAAGTTCATTCGGCGAAATCTTCTTTCTTCCTTAGGTAGCCTCTTCCTTATTTCAGCGAGTTTTTTTTCTTTTTGTGGTTTGTAACGGCAGTCATGTGTTCGATCTACCGTCTACGGACTTCAACTACAGATGGAGGAGGAATTGTATTGCAATTGCAAATATTGAAATTACGGTGTGCTTTGACGTGTTAATACTAAAATTAGGCGTTGATCTGATGTGGAATCCTCTCTTATCTGATTGGTTTAAAAATGGATGTACCAAAACACTCTCATTTTTTGCATGTACTGTAGAAGCACCCATATTTGTACTCTTAATTATATCATCGAAAGGAGTAATAAACAACCATGAAATCCATATTAACCGCTATATGTAAACAGCTAAATTACCAAATACTTTTTTACAACCCGCCAAATCAATCCGCTGGTCAAATCCGCTGACTCAATCCGCTATTCGGAACCCGCTAATATTATCTGCTAACCGTTAACCGTTATTTGCCAAACAAGCCCTATACCATTATTACGCCTCTTACGCTCAGGCATACGCATACAATACGTCAGTACTTACGCACTCTTATGCATCCAGTATACTTGCTGTTCTCCATCGTTTTCAACTCTACTCCTTTTCACAAAATAAAACCATAGACCTCCATTCGAAAATAAATTTGTTCACTATGCGGGACCCACTAAGGGTTCCATGGGTCCCAGGAGTATGTATATGTACAAGCAAAACTACAAATGAACTGAAAGAGTGTACATAAAATTTTATATTCACTTTGGGTTATTTTTATTACATTTACAAGTTTGGGGTGTTTATCTCACATCTCTTAAAAGTTTGGAGTATTTAAATTATTTTCCTCTTAAATAATTATAAGTAATATTTTTCTTTGATTTTTTTCTATTAAAAAAATACACATTTGAAATTAAAGATTTAAAATTCCCGTTATTTTTTTTATTTTTTCCGGCTATAGATAGATTTTATACGGAGTATGTAACTGTAGAGTGAATTTTATATGTAACTTTGTGCGCAATATTATTATAATGTTTAATTTTGATAATATACGTTAACTATGAAACACTATGTTTCTTTAATTTTGATAATATACGGATTCTAATGCAATTTAGGGGGTGTTTGGAATTGATTCTGCTTCTGCTTCTTTTTAAAATTAGAAGCAGAATCAGAATCAGTTTTTAGAAGCTGGTCTCCCCCAGCTTCCAGAAAAACTGATTCTAGGAGTAAATTAGAGCACCAGAATCACTTCTGCACTTTCACCCAAACACTACAGCTTCTGCTTCTGCTCCCTCAGGGAGCATAAGCATTTTTAAGAATCAGATCCAAACACCCCCTTAGAATTCTATTAAAATCCGGGTCTTTTCAATCTGGGTAGAGGAGGTTTTCACCTTCCATCTTCCACGTCATTGGTTCCAGTCTTCGTAGACAACGAAAAAAATTAGCTCGATTAGGCGGCTAACGACGGCGAGGACGCGCTAATAATTCCGGCGTACTTCTTCTACACCTCCGGCGATGATGGTGCTAAATAGAAAAGCTTGGGTTTCTAGGGTTTTACACCTCTGAAAAGGATGACGTTTTGGCTAAGGAGCTCTAAATTTCGTTGAACTTCTTCTACACCTCTTGGCCAATGACATTCCGGCGTCCGTGTTCTATACCTCCGGCGCCATCGACCTTGTGTCTCGCCGACGTATTTTCAAACTCAGAGAAGGAAGGAATGTGAGAAAAGAAAAGACGAAAAGAAAACAAAGGGGAAAAAGAACGGAAGAAGAAGACGAATGTGGAAGAAGAATTGCGTAAGTGCGTAAGAATTGGAAGTTGCAGGAGGAGGAAAGAGGGAGAAGAAAACGAAAGAGGAAAAGGAGAAAAAAGAAAAGAAAAAGTTTAAAATAAAAACAGGTGGATCGCCACATAGACATATGACCGGGTAACTTATTTATCACCTGCTAAAGTTTAAATTTGACTATTTTTCTGAAGTTGAGGGGCTCAATTGAGTGTTTTTAGTTGGGGGACTTGATTGACTTTTATGATATACTATGAAGGCCTATTTGACAGTTATTCCTAATAAAAATGTAATCGCCTACTGATTTGAGGCGCTTGTAAAGAAAAGTACCTCAGATGAAGCGCCTCTAATTGACGTTTTTCTACTAGTGGCCAGACATGATGGTATCTCGCAGGCTGCCCTTGTATCCATTAGAGAATCAATAGATTCTGATATAAACTACAATGGCATTAGTAAAATAGGGTGAAGATTAGATATACTTAAAATACATAAGCCTCAAATTTATGATTTTCAACAGAACTTGGAGGAATTAAAGTTAAATGCTAAATAAGCTTAAGGCATGCTACATATGGAGTATAATTTGAAAATATAAATTTGAGAGATAATACTAACAAACACTTGTGAGGTTTGTTGTGATGATCTCTCCAAGACTCTTAATATATTAGTAGAAGACCGAAAAGATATAGTCTGTATCTATCTAAAAAGTCCTAATACATCGTCAAATTAGCAGATGAAAGCAGGATACCTGAAAGAATAAAAGAAAATTGGAGATCGGGAGGGAGTATATGGCGCCTGCAAATTAAGCAAATGAGCAAATATCAAATGTAGAGTTACAAAAAATCCATTTGATTCTTTAAAGTAGGCGGGAGGCTTAGTTCAACTGCCTGGGGTTTTATACTTACGTCTAAAATCATTGTGTTGTTGTATTACATGTTACTCACCTAGTTTGTGATTATTATATCACAGAACAATTAAATCATATCCCAAGAAGATAGCAAAGAAAGAAAAAAACTATGAAAAGAAGTGAAGTCATTGATATTGTGGGAAGCAAAACCAAAATAGCCAAAGGTATTAATATGGCACAAGAGTTCAGTACAATAAAAATTGGCTAGAATGCAATACACTATGTACCATCAAAATCTCTGATTATAAGGGGAAATATGCGCTAATTCATTTCATCATTTTCATTTACCCCAGTGCCGCAAAGGCTCCCACCTATGGTGGGGTAAGGGGGGTCGGATGTACGCAGTCTTACCCCTGTACTAAAGCACAGAGAGACTGTTTACGGATGACCCGTAGTGAAAATCGCATCCAAAATTGCATGGACTGACTGCTGCTTCATAACAAAGAAACGCAGACAGTTTAATGAGCCATTTTGCTTTATTCCATCATATTCTCAAGCCAAAAAATAATGAATAAAGTTGGTTTTTCATATAAAAAAGAAAGAAGTTGCATATTATATTCTTTTGGATGATATCTTTGTTTATTAAGTTTTTGCTAGATGAGTTATACTGTTCTAACATTCCAAAAGGCTCAAATCCAAATCACTTGAGGAATCAAAGAAGTCAAACATTACAGGTTTTCAAATACTGTTGTTAATATATTGTTGGTCCAAACGTTTTTTGTATATTAATAATGGTTAACACACCTTCTAGCAGCCCACTACACTGTACCCATTTATCTGTCTGGCCTATCAATATTGTCTCTCCCGTTAGAATTTGAATTCAGCTCATTATTGAGCTAGTGATGAGTTGTGTGTGGAGTGTATTATTTGATTGTCCTTGTGAGCCCTTCTAATAAAGCATTAAAGCCAAATGCTTCCCTATTATAAGGACACCCCCACTGCTCCTTTGTTCTACGAGTGAACACAGAGAGTTTCCTCCTTCATTTTCTTCTTGGTGAGTGAGAGTGTTTGTGAAGCCATTATCCTTCTTGGTGAGGTGAGAGTCCTTCTTGGTGAGGTTAGTGTGAGTGTTGGCGAGGTTAGAAAGGTGTGTTGCTCCCTTAGCCTAGGTGTGCACAAGAGACAACCGGAAAACCGAGCACCGGACTGCCTGAGCCGGAATACGGCGACGGATTCGATCCTCAACAACTGTGTTATAGAATGGTAGGGCATAGCCGCATAGTCCTTACAGTTGAACTTTTGGTACAGCATAATGGAATGCTAAGTCTATTTTTTCCACTTTGTCGAAAAAGAAAGCAACATGCTTAGTTATATATGTGATCAAAATGTGGTGGGAATATGATGTTTAAAAGAACCAAGTGCTAAGCTTTTTATTACCAAATAAAAAAGAAGGCATCAGGCCGTAAAGCACCATAGATAACTTCCTTAAAACAGGGAGCTAGATCTGTCAATTGTCAATATGATGGTCATTGTTTTAAACTTGGTTAAGCCCATTTTTTCCAAAGTTTGTCCAAAAAAAAACAGCAGGTCCTATTATTTCACAAAGTTTGCCAAAAAGTAAAAGAAAGCAGCAGGCTATCATATTAGTTAGGGTAATTCATACTTGAAGAAAATAATAACCAAGTTCCAAAGTCATTAAAGAAAAGCCAAAAAAGATAACAATAAAAGGAAAAAATTACTAACAGTTTAAAGGCTGAATAAAAAGGATGCAATATCTAGATCAAACTTAGAGCTTAAGTCATAGAGTCATTAAATCAAGCACCACATATAACTTTCTTAAAATAGGGAGCTAGATCTGTCATTGTCAATATGATGGTCATTGCTTTAAAATTGGTTAAGCCTATCTTTTCCAAAGTTTGTCAAAAAAGAAAGCATCAGTCCCTATTACTCCCTCCGTGTCTTTAAAATCTTCCCATTTCAAAAGTAGGTAGATTAAGAATAGTAAAAGATGATATGAATTATTGAGGGTATGACGGGAAAATAGTGGAATAATGTGGTGGAATGTAGGATAAATCCAAAAAAAGTAGTTGTAATAGTGTATTATTTTAAGAATTATTGAGGGTATGATGGGAAGATTTAGAAATGGGAAAATTTTTGTGTTACGGACGAAAAAGGAAAGTGGGAAGATTTTTAAGTTACGGAGGGAGTATTTCTCAAAGTTTGTCAAAAAAATAAAGCAGCAGCCTGATATATTAGTTAGGGAACTTTCATGCTTGAAGAAAATAATAACCAAGTTACAGAGTCATTAAGTATCGCCAAAAAAGAACCCAATGATTCATCGACAGGCACTCGACAACGTTTGCTACACAGAACACCGAAACCAATAGGTAACCTTCCCTCTTCCCCTCAGATTCTTAATAGGGCTGGGACCGGTTCGGTTCTTACTCAAAATAAGTGGAACCGTTATAAAAGTTTTAACTAATTAAATCGGTTCGGTTCCTATATAAAAAATCAAGAACCGTTATGGAACCGAACCGGTAGTAAACGGTTCGGTTCTTCCTTTTACGGGTTCCTAGAATAATTTTGTCTCATCTAAGAATTAACACATAATTTTAAACACGTCGAAAATTCAAAACACGAGTATTAAAATTTTATTTGAAGCTCTAATTACTTCAAACATCAAAGCTCAAACTTAAATAATTTACTTTGAACACTTAATAGAACAAAAGTGATTTAAATTTTCATGTAATAAATGAAACATTAAAAATCGTTGTAGTGTCGGAGCGACGAAGGTTACTCGTCATCATGTAGCAAGAATAGGACGCCTACTTCAAGTCTTTCAAAACATAAAAAAAAAAGACATAAAGTTTGCATGTATAGATATAAAAAAACATTATTACATTCTATTGATTCATAATAAATCTAGTAATTAGAAATATCATGAAAATAGTAAAGTAAAACATGTGCAATCAACTACAAGTTATTTGAGTTATTTTATATTTATAAAATTTATGTGATGGAACAAAACTTGATTTGTAGAAAGAAGTTTAATGTATTATATCAACCTCATGTACAATATTTATTACTTCTTTTCCGTTGATTAAATTAGAATTGTTAGTTAAATATCTTATATTGTTTTATTATTATTGTTGTTGTGGCGGTGGTTATTATTGCTATTATATTATTATTATTATTGTTACTACTACTACTACTAATATTATTTTATTTTTTATTTTTTTTAATAACGGTTCCTTAACGGTTCCATGCACATATTTTTCATAGGAACCGGGAACCGAACCGTTATAACCTGCTTCGGTTCGGTTCCTACAAATGAGGCATTAATTGTTAACGTTTCGGTTCCTAGATGTTGTTAACGGTTCGGTTCCAATCGGTTCTACGGTTCTCGGTTCCAAAATCCCACCCCTAATTCTTAATTTCGATTGAGGATTGAACAAAGTTATCAATGAGGTAAGGTCCAACATATGAAGCCAGGGTGTAAGCAAGTGCATAGCAGGCAGATAAAATAATGGCCTTCCATGCTGAAAAAAATTAAACCTCTGACAAGCATGGATGTAGTTAATTTATTGCTATTACCACTACTAGAAAAACAGCTTACAGTGACACTTAGCTAGTGACACTATGGTGACAGAAACACATTTATGACACTTATGTATCAATAACAGTTGATACTATTACGTCAAGATACAAGAGTGACACTCCAGCCTAATTTATTACGAAGTATTTTACTTATTTTAAATAAAATCACAACCTTAACATTTGTTTTACATTTCAGTCGATCTGCTTTCTACTAAAACTCTCGTAGCCATAGCCTCTCTCCCGACGCCTGTGCGGCATACTAACACCGCCGACGGAGGGTTACGAGTTCGATGCCGCACCACAAAAACCTTGGTACACAGCGACGGTAAGGGAATTAGTCCCCGGCCAACGAATGCGCTCTAAGGGAATATCCTCTGCCGACTCCAGAGATCTTGTCTTCCTCGTCAAACCTCTTGGACGATTGAAAGGGTATTCTGTGATATTTTTCTCAAACAATGAATGACAGTTTCTATCCTCTAATTTTAGCTTTGATCTAGTTGGCACCTTCTCCAATGGTCACCCTCCTTTGACTGCTATCCGAAAAGCTTTTGAGGTCCTAGGGTTTTCCCAACCCTATTCTGTGGGGTTCCATATATCGAATTTGCTAATGATTAATATTGATTTTGACATTGATTTTCAAAGGCTTTGGATTAAAAAGTCCTACGGTTTCTTTGGATATACTATGCCTGTTTCTTTGGATTAATTTTGCTCTCTAATGTTAATTTTTCTTCTGTTGTTGATGTTCTAGTTTGTTAAGTACGAAAATGTACCTATCTTCTGCATTTCTTGTTTCATATTTGGCCATTCCACCTCAACTTGTGAAGGATCCTCTTAATCATGTAGATTTCAGTTATTTTGTTTTTCCTGATGCTAGTGAGAATGGAGAAAAAAGTGTGGTTGTCTTTGAAAACCCCCACTCGGCTGCCTGTACTGAAGCCCCCCCCCCACCCACCCTTTGTTGCCTTGGAGAATCTTCTTGTTCAGGCTTGTGAACATGCCGTTTATCATTCCACTATCTTGAAAGTTGGTGATATTGAACCAACTCCTTATTATTGCCCTGGAAACTGCCTTGGCAGATTTTGAATGTCCCCCTTCTGCTGCTTTTGATGCCACAGTGGTCTGCGAAGCCCCCATTGATGTTTCAATTGTTGCCCCCTATGTTACTAGTGAGTGATGTATCAAATGCTTATAATATTGATATCCCTGTTCTAGTTACCTTTCTGCCCCCTTTACATATGTTCATGTGAAAACTTATGCTACTGCTACCTCTATTGATCTTGAATATACTGATTACACTGAGGCTACACCTGCTATTGAACCCCCAGTGGCTACCTGTAACAAGGCATTAACCGTGAGCGTTGTTCATCCCCTTTTGTTGGTGCCCGCTAATTTGAAGCTCTGGGAACTTTCTGCCAATGATATATATGAGGCTCGAACACGACATGAGGAATTTCATTCTGATCCTATAAAGTTGTTACTACATTTGGCCCAATCTTGTCCAATGATGATATTCTATCTGAGGATAACCATGTTGCTACTCTTTCTTTTGCAGGTCCTATTCCTCCTAACGAAGATGAACACCCGGAGGATTTT